TAAGCATGCAGTCCCTTGCTGGCCCCTCCTGGATGTGTGCCAGAATAATTTTCTCGAACAGCTTGCCCTAGGATCAAGGTAAGACTAACTGGCCTGTAGTTTCCTGGGTCCTCCTTCCTCCCTTTTTTTGAAGATGGGAACCACGTTGGCCCTCTTCCAGTCCTCCGGTACCTCTCCAGAGGGTCTTAAAGACCAGAGGGTCTTTAAGAGGAGGCTAGATGTACATCTTGCTGGGGTTGTTTGACCCCAGTACTCTTTCCTGCCATGGCAGGGGGTTGGACTAGATGATCTACTCAGGTCCGTTCCGACCCTAGAAACTATGAAACTATGAAGAGGAAGTGATCACGTAGTTCCTTGTCCCGCATAATGCATTGGTGTGGTGTCATCTGTCAGCATGTAGTTCCCCTCATATAGAGGCTACCACTCCTGAGTGGATGTGTGTCTCAGTAGACAGCCACGATAGTCACAGACATAGATTCCTTGAACACTTAAAGGTTTTCCTAGCAATATAGCAAGGAGAGAATTTCTTGCAGCCCTGTATCTAAAATGTCCACATATTTTTGCTTGATAGTGATTTCATGGAGCGCTCCAAAAGAAGTAAGTTTGGGTGGATATCACTAGCCCTCCAACAGTGTTGGCCAGGGATGCACCCCTTTCCTAAATGGAAAATGCATCTTAATTGCTCATACCTGAAGGACATAAAAAGTCAGAGGCAGGTATATCTTAATTTCCAGAAATTTAGCTTCTGTCATACCACCTTAAGTTCTGACACAGAGGGGAAAGGCCTCTATATTAACTAGAGTAAGAAAAATGGCAGAAATTCCATTTTGTGAAGGTTTTCAATTTATTTTTTTAAGGATGTAAATAAAACACTAAAGCTTTGAACTTCCCTGCAGTGGAAAGTCTTGGAAAAAATTGTTTGGGATCATACAACATTCTGATAACAAAATATTGTGTCTGACCCTTGTATTTTGTAATATTTAACAATACTACATGAATATTTTTAAAGAAAAATATATACCAAATGAAAAAATGAAATGTTTCCTTCCTGCATATTGTTTAATTAGTCTTTTTCATCCAAAATAAAATTTTCTGTGAATTTGACAGCATTTTTCAAAGGGCTTCTGATTTCAGTGGAACTGCAGTGGACTTATAAATACTTCCATATCTTTTTCTGACCATGTACTTCTATGTATGAAAAAATAGTGAAAATGTTCATTCTATTATTAAAGCAAATGGCAAGCTGGAAATTAAATCGTTACTAACAGGAAGTGTAACTGAGTCACAGTAAAACAGTGAGATGCTGCAAGCATTCTGATTCAGTATCATAACAAGGGTTTGGATTCCATTATCTACTCTTTTCTGCTCTACTCCTCCTCCTCTCCAATTCTGTATTACTACAGGATGGTTTAGTTGCACCTGTATATTACCGGTTGGACAAAGGCACCTAAGATTTAGGTGCAGGTACAACGGATGCTGTTGGCTAGAGTCTGGTGTCATGTGTTTTAATACGGACAAGTGCAGGGTGCTGCACTTGGGCAGTAGGAACCAGCAGCACACTTACACAATGGGGAACTCCCTACTCGAGAGCACGGAGGCAGAAAGAGATCTTGGAGTCATTATTGACTCCAAGATGAACATGGGCCGACAATGCGAGGTCATGGTTGGCAGGGCTAACCGGACCTTGTCGTGCATCCACAGGTGCATCTCGAGTAGAGCCAAGGAGGTGATCCTCCCCCTCTACGCGACGCTGGTCAGGCCACAGCTGGAGTATTGTGTCCAGTTCTGTGCGCCCCATTTCAAGAGGGATGTGGACAACATGGAGAGGGTCCAGAGGAGGGCCACCCGCATGATCCGGGGACAACAGGGCAGACCCTACAGTGAGAGACTGCGGGACCTGAACCTGTTCAGCCTCCACAAGAGAAGGCTGAGGGGGGACCTGGTGACCGTCTATAGACTCACTAGGGGGGACCAGAAGGGTTTGGGGGAGACGCTGTTTCCCCTAGCGCCCGCTGGCATAACAAGGAGTAATGGGCACAAGTTGATGGAGAGGAGGTATAGATTGGACATCCGCAAAAACTACTTCACAGTTAGGGCGGCTAGGAGCTGGAACCAACTTCCAAGGGAAGTGGTGCTGGCCCCTACCCTGGGGGTCTTTAAGAAGAGGCTGGATGCCTACCTGGCTGGACTCATTTGAGTCCCGTTTCTCTTTTTGGGGTTTTTTGTTGTTCTCCCGCCCTGGCGGGGGGTCGGGCTAGAAGATCTACTAGGTCCCTTCCGACCCTTAATCTATGAATCTATGTAGAGAGGGTTCAGGCAAGCTGAAAATAGGATCCATTTGTTGTCTCTTACTATGAATTATTGCTTGAGCTGGAACTGTCTCAATTTATAATGTAAGGAGGTGCTCATTTCTATGAGGTTCCCATTAACTTTGGAATCATTTCTCAGTCCAGAGTAGCACAAGTTTTATTTTATGTATTTATTTTTTTACAACATGTTGCAGAGTACTTCTTAGGCCTTTTGGTAGGACTGGACTGCATTAGAAGAGATGGGGTTTTGGAATTAAGATCTACGGGTGGAGTATATTCTATAATACTGGTTATACTTAGGGCTGCGTGAAATGCCTGTGTTTCATTTCGGTTTCGGAATTGGCGTTTCGACCAGACAGCAATTTCATTTTGGCATTTCGAATTGCTGTTTTGTTTTGTTTCAGCCAAAACTGTTTTGAGTTTTGATGCTGTTTTGACTCTGTTTTGGTGTTTCAGCCATAGGCTATAATGGGGAATGACTAAAATATCTATAACTTTTTCATTTCTTGCCTGATTTGATGAAAACTGCAGGAATGGTAGCCCCTGCTGAGGCCATGAAGCCTGCCAAGTTTCAAGGAGATAGGTGCATGGGTTTCTGGGAAACTGCACTTTGTCACAGATCAGGGTTCCTAGAGGTGGCCATGGTACCCCTAGGGACCTGTGACTGTGCCAGCTGTGCTCTGTGAGCACCATCTCTTCTCGCCTGCCGCCACATCTTGTTAGAAAAGTTAATAAGGGAGGCTGCCCTCAAGCTTCAGCTCAGTCACAGTCCTAATGGATGCCAATAAACCCTGTAGGTTCTTGGACCCCTTGCTTGGACCCACTCTAAGTAGGTGGCTCAAGGGGACACCCTAAGCCTTATGGGCTAGATGCGTGGTTCCAACCATCCCTTACCACACCCCATGCCTTGTAGATAGTATATCGATATTGTCCCTGTAATGAGGTCTTGGTCTCACTCTACCTTCTATTGTCGCTGGGCTCTCTATGCCCCTGATGCTGTGCCATCATGGGCGCTGGGACCTCTACACAACACAGTAGTGTGCCCCAATGAGGTCTCCTCCTCCTCCCCTACAGCCTCATCTCAGTCCATCACTTTAAATAACAACAGGTAAGCAGCAGAGTAGCACTAGCATCTCAGGAAGTCAAACAGTCACAGAGCCTTTTTTTCCTTTCCTGCAGAAGCTTCTTCTCCAGCAGCTGCCAGAGAACTCTCCCTGCCAGCCCCAGCCCTGGGGCTTAGATGTGCCCAGGGCCCTGCCTCCTTCCAGTCAGCTGACTGGAGACAGGTGCTAAGTTGTAGCTATGTTGGTCTAGGGACATGGCGGACAAAGTTTTTTGAGTCAATCTGATATCTTTTAGTAGACCAACTGAATAGTTGGCAAAATATATCTTAGCAAGCTTTTGGGTTAAAAACCCTTTGTCAGGCTGAGGAAGCACATGCAGTTGGTGTGTGTGCCCTTCCTGGATGGAAGGAGTAGTAAAGAAGCCAGAGGCTGGCATGCAGTGCAGGCAAGAAAGCCAGTCAGTGAAAATGGAAATGGAGGAGTCAGGGGTGAGAGACATGCTGGGGTTGGGGGAAAGGGAGATGTAGCAGGTAAAAGTGGAGAGGTACCTGGGGAGTCAGATGTCCAGCAGGTTGTAGTGTGTCGGAATTCCAATGTGTATATTGAGTCCATGAGTTTCTGTATCTAGGAGGTTGATGAAGTGCAGTTCATAGGCTCATCTAATAAAAGTGGTTTGTAAATTCAAACAAGCACTGAACCTTGCTAACCTCATCACCAGAAACCAACTTCCTACAGCCCAAAACACACTGCATGGATCTGGACCATGCCATGACAAGACATGCAAAACCTGCCAACAAGATCTCCATTATGGAGATACAATACGTATCTCCATCAGGGCACCAAATGCCCTGATGGAAAATACGTAGGAAACACTAAGCAACAACTGCACACCAGAATGAGCGCACACTGAAAATCAATCAAAGATGAAAACACCCAGCTACCTGTCTCCAGTCTTTCAGGTCTGATCCTCAAAGGGAATATACAAACCACTTTTCATGGACAAGCCTTTTTAGATCCCTCCCCCAGAGCACTGGGATTGGAAGGGACTTTATGGCCAGTTAGCAGACAGCAGCCAGCTACAGATGTCAGTCTGTTCTCCCCTCTCCCCCCTACCTCTCCTTACTTTCTCTTTTCTTGCAAGGCCAGCTTTGAAACACCTTTGAAATGCCGAAACATCTTGGAAATGTTTCAACTTGTTTTGTTTCATTTTGAACTTTTTGACATTTCCCCCGTTTCATTCAGATTCAGAGTTTCAAGCGTCAAAACACTTGAAACACTGCTGAAATGAAATGGTGGTCAAAATTTTCACAGCCCTGGTTATAATATGTTTTGTTGGTCTGGGGTGTGGGTGTTGAGAGAACTGCTGGAGTCAAATTAATGCCATTAACTGAATTTTTCCCCCCAAAATATAGTCAGGCTATTTAGAGCTAGAAATGAGCTCTTGACATTATTTGTGTAAATTCAGTTTTAAAAAGAAAGATGAAGTATAGATAGTTCTTTATTAGCTAAAGGTGCACTGTGATTATATTTATGTTACAGAACTACAGCCACTTTTTCTTGTTTAAAACAGAAATGCTGGCTTGGGTGTCTGTTCAATGACTTGTAGATTTGGTGGTATTTTAGCTCCATTTGTGCCTTCGATGGTAAGTTAACTTTTTGTTTTACTGTTGTTAATTACTGATTTTTTTTTTCTGTAGATAAATATTTTTCAAGGGAAGTTTGTTATCTCTACATATGTATTTTTATGCCCAGTCTACCTCTATTGATACAATCAAATCCCAGAGTTAACTAATGAAGTTTTTTTAATTTAAAAGTTCATCTTTTGGAAAAGAAGCAATGAACTTGGTAACTTGTGTGCATATAATTCTCACTGACATCAAACATAGAGTGAAGAACAAAAATTGTAGATCCTGATTTTTTTTTTAATATAGTTTATTCGAAAGATACAGGCAGTCCTCAGACTTACGACACAATTGGTTCCTGAAAACCATGTCTTAAGTTGAAACGTTGCAACTCGGAACCAATTTTCTCATAAGAAACAATGTTATAAATGGGGGATTGGTTCCTGAACCAAGGCCCAATACCCTATTTTCACCAAAAATACTCCAGAATTTTGTACTCGATCAATTATAGATGAGTAATATAGCTACATTAATGTATTTATATTGTAAATAGTAATCATATTGATTTGGACTTCTTTGAGGTGACTTTGCTGGACTTTTTGAAAGGCTCTTCGTCTTTTTGAAGGTTTCTTGGCTGGCGTCTTCTCAGGAGTCTTGGCTGTAGGTTTTTCTAGAGTCTTGTCTGCTTTCTTAAAGAAAGTGTCCAAAGAAGTTTGGACAGATGCTCTCCAGGTAGATGAGCAATGCAGCCAACTTGTTTGCTGGCATGGTGTCGCATCGGCTCAAGTGTTGTAAAGTCGAAACTGACATCATAAAGTTGAAACAGGGTGTCAATTTATAAATGTTGTAAGTGCGAAACATTGCAACTCAAAACATTGTAAATCGAGGACTGCCTGTATATGAAATGATCAAATAATGCTGCAATAGCTTAGGATATAGTGGCTGCGTCTACAAGAGATGCTGACTGTGTAGTTGTTACTGTGCAGTCATGTAATACTTGCAAACACAAGTACTAAATGACTGTGCAGTAACCAGTGTTACTGTGCAGGTAGCGTTCCTGAACGGCTTTTTGGTGGCACTAACTATGCAGTAGCTCATGTTATGCAGAAGCCTCGCATCATGCTTTGTGTCATGTGATGCTGCTGCACAGTAGTAACAAGCTACTGCGCAGTGTCTTGTGTAGATGTGGCCACAAGCATGAATTAAGTTTATGTATTTGTTTCTGATTTTCCATTTCAGAAATCTCTGAATCCATCCATGCCATTTGTGGTGTTTGGAATCAGTGGATTATCAGCAGGATTCTTGACTCTTCTTCTTCCAGAAACTGTAAACAAGCCAATTGCAGAGAGCATTGAAGACCTGCAGATGTCCAAATACCAATTGCTAAAAAACAAAAAGGCAGAGTAAAAGCATTTTAATGTAGCTTTTTATTAATTTACACATATCTTCTGCAGGTCACAATATGGTCACATTTTCCAAATTATTCAATCTGTGCATTATATCTTAAAAATGTGGGTTCTCTTGTTCCATAATACCCTGACTGTTTAAGCAGAATTTAAAACTTTTTTTAAAAAGCCTATTTTGCACTTAGAGAAGAAATCTTTTCAAGAATTGATTATACAGTCATTTTCATCTATACATATAAAACTATACCTAAACCCATGCCATGTTTTTGGTTCAACTCAAACAAAATGTTTAAAAGCAACCTGAAGTAATCATAAATTATTCATTTTACATATACCTTGTGCATCTGCAGTTATTTAGTTAACCTTCATATGTGTTGCATTGTTCCTTTTTTGTCTTGTTAGGTCTCAGATTGGAATAGAACATTAAAAACAATGGATGACATTTGGGGAAATGCTGATCCCTCATTTATTATTCTGTTATGTTAGAAGCTCTTTGGAACATTTTCTTGTTGAATATGTACATCAAATGAAGCTTTTGAAACTGATAAGATAGTTTTTATTTGATTAAGATGGTCAATAATGATAGATTTCAGATTATATAGCTACTGATGTTGAGAAGGAAATGCTATAGTTAAATTTTTAGTTTAATTCTATTATTGCAGCTGAAAAGTATAAATTTTTCTTTCTCACAAATCATGTGTTTAAAACTTCATTGTGAAAAATATATACTTGACTCATGATTTATGCAACATGCTCAGTAAGTTTGGATGTGATTTGGTAGGTTAACAGAATTTGTAGCACTAACAATAACTTATTAGCAATATAGAAATACCTTGGAGGTAAATGCATACAAAGTTTCCTGACACACTTAACACATTATTATCAATTGCATTTGTTGTTAAATATTATACTTACAAATGTGTATAAGCTTTAGTTAAATTAAGGTTTGTGTCTAATAGTTTAATACCTAATAGTATTCTGTTCAGCCAAAATGAAAAAAACTGAAGTGCACAGATTCCTTTTCCTGCATCTGTTGTTCTTTTCATTTCATTTTTTAATTAAATCTGTGAAGTAAATGTATACAGCACTCCATTCCATCTCTGACATTCGTTTATGAAACTGGATAGGAAAAATAATACATGTAAAATTATTTTAATATTTTATTTTTTATCTATTTCACAGGTAACTCAATTAGAAGAAAACACTTAAACTTTCAGAAACATCTCTGTAGTGAAAAGTCAAACATCTTTTGGAAAGATACTTTCACAATTAGTGTGGAACCATTGAGATACCACAGTGGAGGACATAACTTATGCCAAAGGATATAAAGTAAAGTACCATTGCCAGTATTATGAACAATTCATTTTTATATCAAGGTAAACTAAGAAGATGGAAAAACAGTTGAGCAAAAAATGTGAAAAAGAAATAGCAAATCTGTGCATTGATTTAAGGACTCTATAAGATAAACTTTGGATATGGAATATGTAGTTTTTGAACTGATGGAATATTTTACTCCATTTTTTTTATATATCTTACTGCATTTGTCAGATATAATTGTCAGATGCAAACTGAACTATAATGGTGAAATGGAAGTGGCATTTTTTGTGTATATATATATCTATATATAAAACTTACAGAATAGGTTGCAGGGCAGCCTTATATATTTAGGCATGCTGTAATTGTTAAGAATAATTACACTATGTATATGCCAATCTCCTTAACTTTTATTTTTATTTTTAAACTACATAATACCTCACAGTATATTTCAAAAAAGAAGACCAACAGTTTTTAAAGTTTTTTGTCCTAAGTGTAATGTGAGCAACATGAGAACCTTGGTCAAATTGATCAAGATGTTTCAGAGAGAAGTAGAAGAACTATAATGCTAGGTATGTTTTTTCTAGATCTATTTAAATAACACAGAAATGTAAAGTTAAAAATGACGATATTGGAAAGAATAGTATGGTGTTTTGTTTGTGTTTTGAAGAAAAGAGTTATATTTCAGTACGTGAGTACTGAACATTTAGTCTAAAGTTTATTTAGAGGATTAATTTAGCCAGCAGTAAATGCTGACCTTAGGTATGGCAGCAAAACTAGGAACAAGATTATCAAGCAGTATATATTTATAAACAGCATTATTATTTCCAGTAGGACTTGGAAATATTTGCGGTAGAAATATAAGAGTTTAGTCAACAATATGTGCAATTTGGAGTAGGTATGTTATAGATGTTACTTTTACTTGATGCCCAAAACATTTGTGTAATTAAAAAGAGAATTTTGTAACAAATGTTCTTTCACAGGTGTATCTGCCTATGCTGTTATAAGGCTATTTCCAACATTTAGACTCTGGTCCTTTATTTACTGGACTTGGTAGGGAAAGCCACTGCATTTTGACATCAGTTCCATAAGTAGACTACAGTGCTGCAAATCATAACATATGGACTAACTGCTATGCCTTAATGTAACCTCACTGAAGATAATGGGACCCTAAACGGATACAGCATTCCACATGTGTATTATAAATTGCACAATTAATTCCTTAAACTGTTAAAAGGTAAAATGCAGATAAAGTTGTGATTTTAGATTACGTAAGCATAATTGATCTGTAGTAAAGCAAAGCATAGAATAAAGTACAAGGATTTTTTTCCTGAGGCTTTTTTTATTTGTAAATAGAGGCTGCCAACAAGTGTGCCTTTCTTCTAGGGGGAAATTTTTAAGAAATTTCTCCCACCAGAAACTGTTCTGGGGGGAGCAGTACAGGCATTTAGCCAGCAACTGTCCTGTCTCCCTTCCTCTCCACACCTTCCCCAGCCCAGTGATCAGTTTGGGGAGGATATGAGGAGCAGGTTGCTCTATTCCTTCTGGTTCCAGGAAGACTTTGCATGTACCACATTGAGGGAGTTTTTCTTCCATGCGGCACTTCAGTGCTGGCTCCCATAGTTCCCCTGGGGCAGTTCCTGGTCTGGGGAAGTGGTGGGGAGCATTGGCCTGTTTCTCTCCTCCCTTCCCAGACTAGTCCAGGAGGAGAGGAGAGCAGTGGTGTAAAGCCCCCAGACCAGAAGGAGAGTAAACAAGCATTTTTTCTCAAGAGAGAAACTGTCTTGCAAGGGGGATCTTCCAGGTTACTCTTGGAATATCTTTCCCCAGAAGGGGCATGCTTCCTTTCAGAGAAATTGAATGAGCAGTTGTACACTTCTTGTTTCTGTTGGGAGAAAAGCAATTCTCCTGGTAGAAATGTAACTCCTGCGTGTGGCCATAGTTTGGTTGTTACTCCCTGCTCGTAGCATTTATAACCACACTGAATAGGCATACGTCTTCAAAGGACAATTAAATGAGCAGAGAAATAGTGAAGATGAACACTTATTACTGTTGACTTAACAGTATGATAGAATACATATTCTATCATAAAAATTAAATCTTAAAAAAACTACCTAGAGGTAAAAGTAAGACATTGAAATAGGATCCCCCCAAAGACGTCATTGGTAAAGTTAAAAGTCTGTATCCTTCTTCTGCCAGATATTTAATGTATCAGTCTAAAAAATGTTTTGCCTCTTTCTTTTGTACCAGATTCTACAGAAAGCAGGAAATAAATAATCATCTTTATTTTATATGCATTTATCTCATAGTTATTTTTGATATTGAATGCATCTTGCTATTATCTACTAAGTATTTTGTATATTTGACAGTTTGATGATCACAAAGGTCTTTTGTTTTATGCTTGCCTCTGTTGTAAGAAATAAAATTAATGTTACCCTACACAAGATGGTGTTGTTCTCTGACTATGGCTTCTTTCTGAGTCACGTACCACAGATACACTCTTACCATGATTTGTTCTCATCTGCTTTACTATCTTGCCGTATTTTCCATAAGTAGATAAAAGGGAAGTTTATTTTTTAAATTTATCTTTTTAATTTTAGCCATTCCAATGGAGGCATCAGATGCAATTTGTTGTTATTTTCTAATGACCAAACATAATTACTAATTTGTCCTGCAAGAGCCTAAAGCTAGGAAATCAACTACTTCAATAACTTAAGCATATTGTGACAGATTAGAAAGACCACTATTTTGATTAAACGTATTCTAGTTTTGTTCTTTGTTTTTGTGTTTTTGTTTGTCTTTGGAGTAGATCTGCTTCTCTCTAAGATATGGTAATTTCAGATTGTGGATTCAGAAAAAGTTATTTTGAACTGCTTTTCTCTTATTTTTAGTGAAGTATAGATTGTTTGGGAATGTCCTGAAAAATTATTTACTGGCTGTGAAACTCTCCTCTTTCTATCACTTTTACCTTATGATACCCTGTTTTCAGTTGCTTGTATCTTCACCAAACTTTTAGGGTTGAAATTTTCTATACCATGTTTCTATTTTGGGTTGGTTTTAGCGGCCCAACACCCTGCTTATAGACAGAGGTGATGTGTTGGTGGGGGTGGGGAGGCAGCAGCGTGGTGGTGGCAGCAGTGCAATTTCTACACTGATGGCAGGGCATGGGGCTGCAGCCCAGCTGGAGCCAGTGTCCAGCAGGAGCAGGGGCGATGGCAGTGTGGAATTGTGCCCCACTCCCCCCGCCACTGTCAACACTTATGCATTGTCTATACTTATAGGTATGCATTTCCTAGTTAATTGGCAATCAAATCAAGTGGAAATGTCTAGGCGACAGCTTGGAAATGCAGTGTGGCTAGAGAGAGCTTATTGGTGCATTGGAGTAAGGAGTTCCTCCTTTATTTATCCTTGGTCTCACAAGATATGGGGGAGAAAAGGGGTGGAAGAAGGGGAAGAGGCAGGTGTGGCTAAGGGATTTCCAGCATTTGCCAGTGAAAGGGATTTCCTGCCCCAAAGGCAGTAAGTGTTCTAGTTTTGTTTTTAAATGAATAAAAGTACTTTTCCTCTTCCTTGTGGCTGGATAAGGAGGTACATAAGAACGGCTGTAATTGTAAAAAAGGTCTGAAACACAGGACTGCTGTTAAGATGCTCAATTTTACTGTATAATTTGTCTTGGTTTGGATTACTGATAATTAATGTTGTATGCCAGTGTGCCTGCTTGGTCATGTATAGACATTACCTTGCTGCCTTGGAGCATACGCCCAGGGCTGGCCGCAGCATTTGTTTCTGCGGTCTTGGCAAAGGCTTGCATTCTCCCCGAGGGAAACCCCAAAACTTTGCTCCCATGACTTGGGTTTTCCTTTCAGTGGTGGGGCTTCCTCCTGTAGCCCCTCATGGGTCGGTTGCACTTCCTAATGGGTATTCTTGGGGCTCCACCTCCCCAACACACCAGCCATAAGCCAGCCTTAAAGACAGCCACATGATGGTAGGTTGACTTGCCCTCCAGTGTCACCTCCTGGACCTCCCTCATCTGCTAGTTTTCTGATGGTCTCGCCCTGCCCTAGGTGTCTTCAGGACGTTAGACTGTCCCTGCTGCTATGCCAAGTCTTCATTGCAGCACTGCTGCTCACAGTACTGCCCTGGCCCTTCCTACTCCCTGAGCATTGCCCGTGGCCCTGATCCTTGCCTTAGGGCCCCTTGGGGTAATTCATGAAAGGAACAAAATAACAAAGAAAGAAAAGGGCAGTGGGGTCTTAGCCCATTCCCCACTCACAACTCCGGTATCTGCAGCTCTGCAGTCTTTCGACGCTGTCCTTCTCTCTCTAATTGCTCGTGGGACCCTCCAAAGGGGTCTGCCCTTGGGTCCTCTAGTGGCAGCCGGTGCAGTTCTTGGCCAGCTTGGGGAGCACTCCTGCCGGTTGCTCCCTGCAGTGCCTCCCCAGCTTGTTCCCCACTGCTGGCTTTTATTTCTGCCAGGCAGTATTTTTGTCCAATGTCATCCACCTGTGCCACTTTTAGCCAGAAATAAAAGTGGCTGACAAACCGTGTGGGTGCCCCATCTCGGCATGGGTCGTTCTTCTCTTCTTCTGAAAAAGGTAAGTTTGCCCCGTCTTCAGGGCTTTCCCTTTTCTTGTGGGGACGAGCTGTCTCTGCCCTGTGTCCTGCCATGGGAGGGGTCTTCCTGTTCCCTTGTTTTCATCCCCCTGGGACAGCCAGTAATCAATATCTAATGACTTCAGTAGCCAGTGCTGTTATAGTGACTTTCCCCAAAGGCTGATGATATGCCATGGAATGCAATGAAACAGGACAGTTTGTTTTTAAAATTGGTAAATCTTTCTTATTTTAATTTTTTTCTGATCATCAGTACTGTTGATTTTTTAGGAATGCTGAATTCGATCAACAGTCCATCTGATCCTACCTCAAAAACAACCCAATACTAAATAGTTAATTGGAAAGTTCCAGAAACTTGGCAAAAAGAAAGTTTAAATCTAACTTTTTTAGTTAAAGCATGGTTTATCGTAACTGCTACTATATGTTTTATGACTTGACTTGTGAGGTGTTATGTCCCTTTCAAACTGTCCACGTGTTATGTCCCTTTCAAACTTTATACTGCTTATTCTAACTCTACTTCATTTTCTGTACGTGTCATAGAATCATAGAAAAGTACGCCTGAAAGGAAACTCTAGAGGTCATCTAGTTCAAAATCCTGTGCAAGACAAGATCACCCCTGTCCAAGCCATTGCAAGCAAAGTCTTTCTATGCTGTTATTAAAAGTACACAGGTAACCCTGACATACAATATAGAATTATAGAAAATTAGCATAGAATGAAAGAAGCACAGGGAGGAGGGGGCAATAGGGGAGGCATCCTCAGTCCTCCTGAAAAAGTAGGACAATCGGCTAGTTGCCTCAGGTGTATGTACGTGAATGCATGGAACCTGGGAAACAAGCAGAATTGGAAGTCCTCATACAGTCAAGGAACTTTGACATGACTGGAATAACAGAGACTTGTTGGGATAGCTCATATGACTGGAGTACTGTCATGGATGGATACAAACTTTAGGAAGAACAGGCGGGAGAGGAAGGAGGAGTTCTGCTGTATATAAAAGAGCTATATGATTACTCAGAGCTCCAGTATGAAACTGGAGATAGGTCTATTGAAAGTATCTGGATTAGGGTCAGAGGGGCAAGGAACAAGGGTGATGTCATATTGGGTGTCTGCTATAGACCACCAGACCAGGAGGATGAGGTAAAAGACTTTCTTCAGACAGCTAGCAGAAGTTTCCCAATCACAGGCCCTGGTTCTCATGGGGCACTTCCATCACCCGAACATCTGCTGGGAAGGCAATACAGCAGTGCACAGGCAATCCAGGAAGTTTTTGGAGAGTGCTGGGGACAACTTCCTGCTGCAAGCATTGGAGAGGCCAACTAGGAGC